TGTGTGATGTGTGATGTGTGATGTGTGATGTGTGTGTGCTAGCTTGGAATCGTTTGCACATTTAAGTGATGCATGGCGCGTGATACGCGATGCCTATTCAACTGAAATCGCTTGCATGTAAGTGATGCGTGATGTGTGTGCCTGTTTAGTTCAACTCATTTGCATGTATGAGTGAAGCGTTATGCGTGGTGCCTGTTAAGTTGAATTGGTTTGCATACACACGCATTTTCGCGTATTATTCTTAGATATGCACTGCATCGTAGTAATGCTGGATATTGTCCTTATTTAGCCCCCTGAATGCTGGTGTCCCGTAAAAACTGTGGCTCGCTGTTAAAAAACAACTGGAAAGTGAGCCGAATCATCGGCAGGCAATTTTGAACTCACTTCTACTCCTCGTTTCGATAGACATATTGCCAAACTATCAGCGCATCTATATCGGCATTCTCCTGCTTTCTCCGAGGAATAAGGCTATTGGTAGTGTCTTATCTATATCTGATGCTTTCTTCGACATCCTCAGATGTGGAACCTTTAACTTTAGCTCCTGGTAGCGAAGGGCGTAATGGCGTCCGAAAACAAACGCTCGCACTGATTGTGATACTCCCCTTCTGATTGTGATACTCCCCTTCTGATTGTGATACTCCCCTTCTGATTGTGATACTCCCCTTCGGCATAACGCCGCGTAAGCTTGAAGCTTATTGCTTCCTTGCGGGAGCAATTTCTGCGCGTGTTGTTAATAACAAATGACAAGGTTCTTAATAACGACTCAATCCTAATGCAAACATATCAGCTGCAATGTGAAGACGTTCAGACACATAGCCGGTGACGCCGGACATGCTTTCAGGACCGTGATGTGTTCGCGTTCATCACGTACACCACTTCGGGATTTGCTGACCATTTGAACAGGCCACTGCGTTCGTAATCAAAATGGCCGGCTCTCTCCACTCTCCACACAGGTGCCGGCACTCGTAGTGTGGTCGTCGATGCTTCCAGAATCAGCCAACTTCCAGCAGAACGTGTGCCTGGAGCTGAAAAAGGTGGCCCATGTCTTCTTGGCGTTTCGGAGAGAATGCAATGACATCACGCACGTCGGAGAGACGCTGCAGGCCTACTACTCAAACCACGTGATCAATGTGCTGTGCCAGAACACGCCGGCGCTGAAGCTGACGAACAGCTGCTGCCGGCGATGACACCAGGACACACACTCACGCTCGCCGCCGTGATCGCTGCCGTGAGAGCGGTGATCACCAGGGCAAAACAGCAGTTTTGTTGATGCTAAACCAACCCTTAAGCTGAATGGATCATTTCCAACACTACCACGCCTACCCCTGTTGTGCCCGGGACCGGCACCGCAGCCCGTAAATTTGTGTCTTATGATCGGATAGCACAACGCGGGTGTCCGCGTGTGCCATATGTTGAGTGCCAGATTGTGTCTGATACCACATTTCGCTAATATTACATGACTATGTTTGTGGCGGAAATAAACGTATGTCAGACATGCGTAGTCTTTGCACGTTTATACCCCCACCCCCATGTCCTCACCGGACTGCAAAGCGCGCGGTGAGGAAGGAATGTGCTCTACTACTGGAGAAATCACTATGAAGGGCGTCATAGGCGCGATGCCCTTATCTTAACGGCTGATTTATTGCACATAATCCTTGTAACTGACCACCTGGAAGAGCTAAATTCACCGGACCAGAGAATCTATATGCTATCCGTATCTCTTTTTCCCTAGATGGAGAGTTTGAAGCTGTAGTACCATGATATCACGATTATTTTTGGTGAAGGTGTGCGGAGAATGTCACACCTGCCTTTCTCTTCAAACATGCAGGAAAATACCAACAGAAGAATACTACTTTCATGGTGGTGAAGAGGGAGTCCAATCAGATTTCTTCCGTCGAATCCCCTATAATGCTTCCAATCAAACTTCCGAGCTGCTCAAAAGAAGTTCGAGAGGACGGGTATTGCCGATAAAATCGGATCTGTATTATCTAGCTGTGCGTGAAAGTGCAGAAAAGTGGGATGCTTCCCAAGTCCATCAGCCTCAGCATCGCCTCCACGTCAACGGCTGAGAGCGTAGAATGCCACGTGGAGAACTAAGAACTTCCACGACTGAGAATGTAGAATGAACGTAGAATGAATGAACTGCGGAGGGACGTTGGCCTCCTCATTTAACGCGGTAAAAGATGGTTTGGGATCATTGCTGGCAGTGGAAAACTATTGAAAAAGTGGTTTACAACAATTGTAATATGACCTCTGTAAAGGATGCAACTCCGTAAAATCATGCAGCGTGCCAGAATAGCTGCATTGTCGAAAATGCAACAAGCTTAAACTACTGCTGGAAAGCGCCACAAGATTGCCGTCACATGACTTTTTCTGTGCAGAGAACAGTTGCCCCATTTAATTGGCCCCCTCATCGGTGCAGACATCTAAACTCCTCCGGTTGTCAGCCATTGCGGGGGTAGTCTGACCTTTCTCAGTCTTTGCTGGGATAATACGACCTTTCTCAGCCTCCGCAACGGTAGTCTGACTTTTCCAACCTTTACTGGGGTGGTCTGGGGTGGTCTGGTCGGCGTTTGAACAATTAATGTGTTTCAGCAGCTAGCAACTCACTGGGTAACACCATAAACGGCATTCAGCGATCAGCCTCGCGTGCGGCTGGGCGCATCACCGCAGCCCGCAGCTGCAGCAGTGCGAAAGCTAAGCGCGCGCTGCTGTCCGCCAGCAGTTTGTGACCTCTCAGCGTTGAACCCCGCGTGACGGTGAGGTCTGGCTGCTAGGATGAGGGACTATGTCCGAAATAAGGTGGAGGGCTCACAACCACCTTGAGTCGTTTCTTTCCATGCACTGCGGTGTGCTAAATTTTCTTAGATGCTGGGGCCGTCCCGTAGCGGATTCAGGACGGGGGGGGGGGGGGGGGGCGTGGCTACATGGCCCCTTCTGGATCCACCACAGCCCCCAACGTGTTTATTTTTTTGTATGACGCTCCAAAGTTCAAGGGCACCACAAACGGCTCAAACGGTCCCAGCATTAAATCAAGTAAACTTGGCCTCTAGGAATAAAGTTGACTAATTCCAACGGAAGATATTTTACCGATCACAAAATTACAAATCTAAGAATAAAAGGGCCGAAGTCCCCGGTACGTCTTTGCTCGGGCGGGGGGGGGGGCAGACCAAGATCCACGTGGCAGCACAAGTGAGGCACAGCCCATCCCTTGACGAAATCCTAAATCCGCCCCTATGATGGAGTAGCTCGAGTTCCTTCCCCTTCCCTTCCATAATGTGATAGCTTCCACGCGTTTTTCCAGCCACCACTCTCCTTACCTTACTAACGGCCTGCCACCGTGCAGAAAACACTTCCACTTGATAAGGTAGTGTATTTCACGGCAAACAGTGCAGCAAGAAAGGTTT